GAAGTTAGTTTGAGGGGAAATCAGAGGTAGAAAAAGAAGAAGAGAAAAATAACGAAGGAATATCGATTACTAGTACTAGTCTAAGGGAAGAGTTTAGATTGGACAAACTGTTGCTGTAGTATGTGATACACCTTGGGTTCAGGGTTTTCCTATTGTGTATAGCCAGAATCAATCTTCTGTAGACAGCAAAAATATAGCTGTAGTTAAACAGTAAGTGTTGTTTTCTAGCATATTATCAGGGGTTATTCTTACAAATGCAGCTCCTCGGTGATGATAACATCAGTGAGGTACTAACACAGAGCCTTAGAAATACGGTAAAGCGAAGAGCATTCCCTGCTGCTGCTGCTGCTGCTGAATTACGCTGTCTTCAACACCACTCCTCTGTCTTGCGTTAGTTGCATAGGCCGTACAATTAGGCGTGTTTCTCGTCGAATTTCCTAACATCACCCTGTGTCGTTGGTTAAGTAAAGGACAAACAAAATCTATTCGTAGCGCTATTCTATTTCATCTTGTGGGTACAGAACACAAGATTGACGTTAACCATGCTTTCAGGGTCATTTACTGCATACCAACGAATCTGAATTTTGCCTTAAGAGTTCGACTACTAAATATTGCTGAGACTGTTGGGATTCATATTAAGAAGCCTAATTTATGCGTCCAAAAGAAGAAGTTGGTTCAGACATTATCCTTACCTTGGCCATCTCGCTCCCGCAAATGCAAGATGATGTTACAGGACTGGACTACACCGACTCCTAGATTAGAAATAGGGAGTGAAGTGGTAGAGCACGTTGTCCGCTTCACTTATTTGGGAAGTACCATCAGCCCCAACGGGTTGATCTCTGACGAAATCTCAGCACGGATACAGAGGGCTAGTTTCGCAAATGCCAGTTTAAGCCGTCTCTAGCGTAGACGCGATATTCGACTATCGACCAAAGGGCGGGTGTTCTGCTCATCAGTCCGCTCCGTCCTCCTTTATGACTGTGAGACGTGGTCATTGAGAGTGGAAGACTTGAAAAGATTAACTGTCTTCGATCATAGGTGCTTGCGTTCTATCTCCCGTGAGAAGTGGTATAATAAGGTGAGCAATATTGAGGTTAGGCATCGAGTTCTAGGTAAGAAGGGGAAATCAGTCGACTGAGATGGTTAGGACATGTGCTACGTATGCCTAGTCATCGCAGACTGATTTCTATCAGTCAAGTTTGCAATGTGGCCACCATGCCATTAGATGGCTCTACATGACGGTGCACTGTAAATTGTTGATATTGGATATGATGGAACAGATTTTTAGCTCAGATGGATGATTTTCATATGGTTGTGTTCTCTGAGCTGGATGGTGGTTTATTTGCGAAACTTTCATCGCCCCAACACTAGGCAACATCTTCCTTCAACGCACACTTCAATTTGTTGAAGTGAACGTTTGGATTTCTCCACGAGTTTATTAGTCATCTCTACTGATGGGTGGTGACCTTCAACGTGACTCTAGTTGTTTTTGTATGTTTTCACACCTTTTAGGCTACTTGTATTGGTATTGGTGTTGATTATTTCCTTGACTTGAATTTTGACCCTTTGTGTGTGGGATTTCCTTCTTATCGATTGGTGAGTTTGTCTTTGTCGATGCATCTATTGATTAACGATTCACTGCAATATCAGACAGCCTTCTAAAAATTCTCTAGTATTCTTGGTGTTTCCTGTGTTGTCTAATATTTGAACGTTGGTTGTCCCAGTCGAATTGATTTCCGTGGTTGTCTGTCTGTATGCAGTGAGGCGGGATGAGGGAGTGGATGTCATGTCTTTTGACGACTAGCGCTTATCTTCATAGATACGAAGATGAAGGGGAGGGACGTCCACTTTGGCCAATGTAGTGATTTTCGCAGTTGTTACAATTTATTTTGTAGATGATGTGGATTTTATCTTCTTTCGTTGTGGAGTCTGTCTTTACACAGAACCAGCCGAGTAAAGTGAATTTGTTGGTTTGTGAGCTATTTCAATTCCTAAAGGTTTGGAGAGTCTTGCAGTGATTTATGATATGTCCTTTATATATGGTATAGCGATTTTCTTTTTGCTTTCCTCGGGGGCCTTCGATTTGGTAGGCTGATGGCTTGGGGGTATATGTCTTTTGATGAATTTCTGTGGATATCGATTCTTTTGCAAGACGTCCATGAGATATCATCTTTCTTCAATCACTTTTAAGGTGGGAGTGATGCAATGAGTCCTTGCCCTCTTGAATAGCGTTTGTATACAATTCCTTTTGTGTGTTATTGGATTGTTGCTGTTCTATTTGAGTATTTGATCTCTATGGAGAAATCTAAAAGCTCTTCACTTCAACAAATTGAGGTATGCGCCTGAAGATGTTGCCTAAGTAGGGCAATGTAAGCTTCGCGAATAAACCACTATCCAGCTCAGAGAACGCAACTACCATCAAAACTGTTTACACTTAGGCGGTTGGAAGTAATCAGCATGAAGCTTTTGACATATGCTTCATGCTTGTTAGCATGAGGGCATGAGTTCCTTCAAGATTGCAGATATGCCTTGTCGCCGACATATGGAAGATTCTACTATCCCTACGACGACGAATAGGTGGGAATAGAGAAAATCATAAAACCAATTTTCCAAAGTAGTGAGGTTATAGTTGATGATATGGTTATGAATAGTAATATGTTGTGTTCGAAAGGCGTCATGCAGTGATTTATACTGTTTTTGCTGACTGTGTGATACATCTAATAGACAAATCAATATGGAGTTTTAACATGTTGTTTTACTTTGGTTATTTGACTCAGTTTTCGGCATACCTATTCTAGACTGTGCTTGTGTGATGGAAAGGTTAATTTAATGTCTGTTTAGTGTCCTTTTAATGCGACACTTTTAGTCTAATGACTGCATTCATATGTAACAAGAGAAGACAAGGGCCAGGCAACATATCGTCTATTCAGAAAATCAACAGATATTCATAGATTTTTATGTACATTATTATTAGCGTTACTGTTAGCGGAGAAGCAACGTCCTCTGATTGGTTATTTTCTCTCTGAAGGTTATTCTGTACTGCTTGTAACCGTTTCTTGGAAAGTTAGGCTATAAATGTGCGAATCGTATCCGCCCACGCTGAGTCGGCTATGATTGGTTGTTGAGTTTCTCAAGGTCAAGCTTTGTTGTTGTTTTTTTCTCATGACCTCAATTCGGGACGTAAACATTGGCGTAAATTGTTGTTTACAATTTTCGCTAGCAGACAGCTCTCACAACAATATACCTAATAAACAAATTAATATGGAATTGTAACATATTGGGAAAGAAATATTACAGAAGAACTCTTCAAAACACACCAATCCATCATATGTCTAAAGCTAATAAAACAATAAATTAACCAACTCTTTATTCTCAGCTATGTTTTCTTCAACTTTTGTTTATGTTACATTAAGTACAATAATGTATGTTTAAACAAAGCAACAAGAAGACGTAATTTGTCTGAATCGTGTAATGTGTATTTGCGCGCACAACACATTTCGAACAATCTGATCACACGGACTTGTCATAAGAAGATGTATATATGTGAAATTAATAAAGAGCTAAGAGGTGAGAAAATAGACTACTTAGGTCAAGTTAAAAGGACATACTGAGGGGCAAAATAACAATGAAGATCACTAAACCAAATAGCAGAGGTAATAGTACATCTGTTATGGTATCAAAACAAAGTTTACCAAGGAAAGTGGTTTAGTGTGATGACGAATTGTTTTTGAGCGCATAAAGGTGATTTAAACTGTCAGCTAGGGCTTCCACAAACTTTAGGATACGCCCTACCCCAAACACGTTCTATAGATAGGTTTGAAAGATGTTTTAACGTCATTTTCATGTCTTGTCTCCTCTATAATATGTTTTGCAATAGAGGAGCTAGGTCCCCTGTTCTCACCAATAATGGGCTCTGAAGATTCTATTTGTTTCTGGAGCCATTTAGGAATATGCTCTGAAGCCCTTGCAGAGATCGATGAGTCCTTCCTATGTATATGTGTGTGGCCACACGTACATTCAAATAGGTAAATACAACAGTGGGATGTGACATCATTTTCCTCAAGTTCATAGGGCTTAGATGGATGGATATACTGGCTTCACATTCTCAGTTATTACCATGATATTAGCTGCATAAAAAGTCTTATTAACCACAGCAGCGTTCAATCTTTGTCTAGTTATCAAGCTGCTATGATGCTCCATATAGAGTAGTTTGATGTACACGTCTTTCTTGGGGGCGATTCGGAGAGTGTGTCTTGGTGTTTTAACTACTTTATATCTCCTGATGAACGTATCTGGATAATTGCTATCAACCAGAGTTTGTGTCAACTTTCTTTCTTCTTCATCAAGTGTGTCCTCAGTGCATATTCGTTGGATTCTACTGAAGGGGCACCTCGCTTACTAAGTCTCTTCTATAGCAAACGGGGCAGAAACTGTGATAATTAAGATACTGTCCTGTCTAAATAGGTTTTCTATAATTAGATCTTTTTATTGACCCATCAAACCGTCGACTAAGCAATATGTTTAAGAAAGATAAACAATTATCTTCCTCTAATTGAATTTTTGATTTTCCCGTCGTTTAATTGGACCGAAGTGCTCGGTCTCCGGTTGACATGTCGGCTTCTTGTGCTGATGCTTCGACGATGTCTGGGCATTTAATTAGAATTTAATTTGTGGATGGTGACTAGGAGTGGAATCCAGGATAGCGCGCATTTCTTCCTATTTGGGACTGGCCATCTGGATGTACCTGCATTTCTCAGTGAGTGAAGATGTTCCCACCGAGGCTCGAACTCAGTGCCCATAGTTTCAAACGCCAAAGCGAGTTATCCACTAGACCACTTGGGCCACGTGAGCCACTGTCTCTTATGCAACGGGTCATATTAATTCAATTGAATTTTTGATTTTCCCGTCGATTGATTGATTGGACCGAAGCGCTCGGTCTGAATCCATCAATTAAATTATCTTCCTCTTCTAATATATTTATGTGTTAATATTATTTCCAGCCGACACAGACAATTCAATCATCCAACCGTTCACGCAGAACTATTCATTATTCAACTCAACTATTCCCTGAAGACGATGATGATGATGCTTTGCAAACAATTGAAACTGAACCACTTAGAAAATCGAAGCGAAATCCTACTGTATCACGTAGACGTCCAATTCGTAAGGTGGTAACAACAATTCCGACATCACTATCTATACAATCAGACAAAACTTCCTCCTGCTTCTCCTCCTCTTCCTCGTCTTCTGCTTCTCCTCAGTCATCTAATCCAATCGAAGTGAACACCAATGACGTAGTGCTGCAGAATGAGAAAAACAACAATAATCGCCATCATAATGAAGGTAGGCGTATTATTTATTATTGTATTATTATAGTTCCCTTGTGTTCCTAGTGGAACATAAGGCTTCAACTGTACGTCTCCACTTACTTTTGTCTTCTGCTGTACTTTTCACCTGCATCCATGTTAGTTAGTCCATACTGTTTCAACTCCTCTTCACACGATCTCCTCCATGTCACCCTTGCACTGACGTCCCACTCGCCGCTTCCCTTTCGGCCTGGTCCCAATCGAGCAATGACCTGACGCGCGCGCGATGTCACCCAGCGGCCTCCTCAGCGAGTGAGTGTCCAATCCATCTCCACTTTCTCCTGCATATTTGTTGGCTGGCGATTGGTTCTTGTTTTGTTTGTTCCCAGCTATAGTTTCGTGTTGGTGATTCTTTCCGGCCCGGCCATCTGATCTTCAGTATAGAGCGAAGACAGTTGTTGGTTGATGAAGGTCTGCAACAGGCTGTTTGAAATATTCTTTGTGACCCACCCGCCTGACAAGTTTCTGATTCGTATAGAAGAGCTGACTGACTTGACGTTTGTATTGAAAATCCGGCCGAATTTTGTTATTGATGCTGAGTTGAGTGACGAAGATTTCCAGATTGGTTTCAGGTTGATGAATGTGTTTCTTGCTCGCCTTCCTGATTCTCGATTTGACATCCTCGTCCTTTCCGACTGCCTGTAGTAGAGACAATGCTCCCTAGATAAGTGAATGAAGTAACATCTTTCATCGAATCCCTCCGTTGATGGTGATTGGCGCTGGATATTGCTGCTGTCGTTGGTTGGTTATTTTCATAACCTGCGTCTTGTCTATGTTCACCTGGAGTCCTGTCTTCGCCGGCTGCTTCTTCGGCCAGTTTGTCGGTTTTCGCTTGTAAGTCTTCGATTTTGGTGTCACATCAAAAATAAATTATCCACTGCGAAATCCAGGTCTTCTAGGTTCTTCACGTCGGTCGGTCCAGGATATCCTTGTCTTCTCGTTTCCCACTCACTGTCTGACGTATAATCCAGTCCACGACAATTGGGAATATCATTGGTGATAATAAGCACCCTTGTCTGGTTTAATAATACTACTTTGATAAAGCTATTAGCAGCATTGAATAGCGAAACCTCAGCGAAAACAATATCGTGTGTATACTGCTTTATTGTGGCCGAAAAGGGGTTAGCTGTCTTTGATCACAAATGTCGGCGTTCTATCTACCGTGTTAAGTGAGTAATGTTGAGGCTATAGGTGTAGGTGTAGAGATAAGGAGGAGAGCAAGTCAATTGTGAGTGAATTATGAAACTGCATAGAACAAGTGTCGCGCATGAGAGAAGCCATCAGGTTTCTTGTGGAGCCAATGTTAGCTGACATGGAAATATGTTTAAAATGAGATAAGGGCCTTAATCTATGAAGTCGTTGACTTTTGATTTTAGCCAGCCATATGATGCAGTGTCAATTGTCAGGTTCGGAGACTCGAGATGCTAAGAACCAGTGGTTGAAGGCTGTTGGTGATAATATAGCTGAATATTATTGCCAGTAGCACAGATGCATTCATCCAGTTGTGGTGTACCAGATCCATCGACTCTTCATGTTCTAGTGCTCAACAGGATAAAGTCGCTCGAAGTTGTAGCGAGAGAGGCCGTGACCAACACACTTCACCAAGTTCTGTATGAGAACACATAGTCGCCAATGATATTGGCCCAACGTTTGCGTGCGATGGTGTTGGAAATAGGCAGAAGTTAGTATTCATGGATCGGGCATTAGAAATTCCGTCACAAAAATTGGATGATCAAAACACTAATCTTGTAATATGAAGGTCTTGGATTTGATGCCTAGCGGTGGGGAGGGGGTAATGGGTGCGTACTACTGTGAAGAAGGTCCCAGACTTGCATAAAACAGCTTTAGAGTACTTCCTGCTTTCAAATTATTAGTATTATTGTGTTCCCTTGGGTTCCAACTGGAACACGAGGCTTCAATAGGACATCTCCAATTTATTCTATTGTCTGCGGTGCTCTTTAGCTGGGACCACGATTCCACGACCCCATTCATGTCACCCTCTTACTGACGACTCAGTCGTCACTTCCCATTGGGGGGGGTCCACTCAAGCGATAGCCCGCAGTGTACATGATACCATTCGAATACCTCCTGTGTTTGCGGCCAATCCATCTCCTTCTCCTCCAACATATTTGTTGGTCGATAAGTTCTCGCCTGTTTTCAATGTTCCTAATTGTAGTGGACTGACTGGATTATGCATCAGAGTATGGGGAGCGAGTACGCTGGATCGATCAGGAGACAATAAAAGATCTGAATTTCAATGTCATACAAATTTGAAGGCTTGCAGGCGAAAATCAACACACTGGCAGAAGAAGCAGCGTATGCCTAGCTATCAGTCGCCTTCCTCGACAACGGGCAATGTTAGCCTCTGACATAAGGATTAGTTAGGTTAGAAAAGGGGTTGGCTAGTAGTGGTGGTCAAACCAAACATGGTTTCATCAGTCAATGAAATGCATAACAGTTAGTTTAAGCCAGCCAGCCAGCCACGTAGGGAGGTGTATACTAGGTCACCTGTTGGGGTCCGCAGGATGGTAAGAACCAATGACGTTGGCTGCAGACAATTGGTGATATGGCTGAAAATCCTTATTGTCAATGACAGCACAGATGCATTCACTCTTTTTTGTGATTTGTCAGTTACATTCTTATTACTAATATTTTTTCCCTCACATTTGTGTTTATTATCTCCCTTTTTATGAATCTCTCTTTGTTTGTGTGGTGAACGGAGGGAGAGTGGCAGGTGGAACTGGGGCAAAGTTCTATGTGGAAATCAGTCAGTCACTTAGTCTGGGATATGTTGTTGGCGTTTAGACGAAAATGATTACCGATGCCACGTTCAATTTTTTTTCCTTGACGTTCCCCTGTGGAACATCGAGCTTCAAACTAGTGACTTAAAGTTTCTGTAGTAGTGTTTTATTTTACAGGATGGGGTTGCTAGCCAGCCTCATGCCCAACCTTTCCTCGTTACCAGCATTATTTCTGGCTTAGAGAGGTAGAGGAGTGCGTCCAGTAGTTGGGGATCGAACCATGGACTAAGTCTCTCTGTCTGCCTGGATTCAACATAAAACTTGTCACCGAAGTGCAGCACTTCGAGTTCCCACCTTCCAAATAGCACACAAAAGTAGACAAGAAGATGAGTGAAGAGAATCAATAGAGTTTGACAAGTATAAGAGTGAAACATAATGGATAATGGTAGGAAGGAATATGAAAGATTACAGAGACTGAATGCGTCTACGCTGGCCATTGACAACGATTCTGAGCCATATCACCTATTGTCTCCAGCCATTGATTCCTAGAGTCCCGAGGCCCCCAACCCGGAAGTCTGCATCTCCCTACCTGACTCAGTTTAACTGTCAAGGATTTCATGGATTGATGAGGCCATGTTTTCGTTTGGCCACCACTTACTCTTTCCCAACCTGCACCTATCTATATCAGCTAGTAATGCCCGTCGTCGGGGGAGGCGATGGTTAGGCATGCGCAGCACGTGACCTAGCCATCTCAATTTATGTAACTTTATAGCCTCGTCGATTGATTTTCCCTGTTTGCCCAACACTCTACGCCTAACGTCAACATTACTTACCTTCTTAAACCACCTAACGTGAGACAGAGATCGCAGACATCTATGATCGAAAGCAGTCAACCTTTTCATGTCTTCATTTCTGGACTATGTGCATGGTTGGCAAGCATCTTAACCGCTATGCCACCAACGCCCACGCTCAAATAAGCTAACTTAAATTTATGAATTACCACTATTTTTATTTTTTATTTTTTTATTAAAATGGTTTCTCTAATTGTCATCATTTAACACTACCTTCTTCTCATGTATCTAAACTACCCTTATTTTTCAGTAACCGTTAGTCACAAGGCGGAAGCACCAATTATTAGTGAACCATCACCACTGTCTACTCATCTAGTAATCCCAAATGATTCAAACACCAATCCAGTTAGTCAACAATCACAAAAGACAAACAGCAGTAGTAGTCCTGCCAGAAAATCGCATAAAGGGAAGAAACCAGAACCTACAGAACAATCATCCCCACCGTCCAAGGTTAAATTACCAACACTGGCAGCTGCAGCAGCAGAGGAATTATTGCCATCTTCATGTAGTACTGAACCAGACAATCTAAATATCTCTGCATCAACGTCCATTGGCACTACTGCTACTACCTCGGGAGTTTTAGATGTTGTCAGCAACGAAAATGATGGTGAATGGTTATGCGCAAATACAAAAACAACTAGACGTCGACAACGTAACAAAGACAATAAACTGTCAGAGAGTAAAAGTGATGGTAATAATGCTGGCATTAGTGGGGGTGGTGTCGGTGGAGGTGATGGTGAGAATCAACAGCAATCTCAATCCAAACTGTTAACAGATCAAAGCAGAATTGAGTCTGATTCTGAATTGAAAAGTAATCAACATCACCATCAAACGTCTACTGAAACTACTACTATGCCTTCTAATATCCATGGTTCTGATTCTAGTCAAAAATCAATTGGTGACGGTGTTACTTTCCATGTAAGCTATTATTAATTAATTGATTGATTGATATGTTTAATTGAATTTAAGATTTTCTCGTCCATTGATTGATTGGACCGAAGTGCTAGGTCTACTCAGGTTGACATGTCTGTTGGCTTCTTGGGCAGATGCTTCGACGATCTGTCTGGGCATGTAATTAGAATTTAACCTGTGGATGGTGACTAGCAGTAGTGGAATCCAGGATGCGCATTTCGTTTTCAAACGCCAAAGCGTTATCCACTGGTCCATCCTGGATTCCACTGCTAGCTGCCATCCACCAGTTAAATTCTAATTAAATGCCCAGACAGATCGTCGAAGCATCTGCACAAGAAGCCAACAGACATGTCAACCTGAGTAGACCTAGCACTTCGGTCCAATCAATCAATGGACGGGAAAATCTAAAATTCAATTGAATTAATATGACCCGTTGCACAAGAGGTGGCTCTCGTGGCCCAAGTGGTCTAGTGGATAACGCTTTGGCGTTGGAAACTATGGGCACTGGGTTCGAGCCTCGGTGGGAACATTATCACTCACTCACTGTGGAATGCAGGTACATCCGGATGATGAGTTCCGAATAGGATGAAATGCGCTTTATTCTGGATTCCACTGCTAACCACCATCCACAAATTAAATTCTGATTGATATGTTATTTATGAATAATGGAATTTACTAATAATCTAGACTAGAAATTTCATACATTTATTCCCCCTTAATGAATTTGAATAAAGTAAAAACAACAGTTTTTGCAGAATGTAATGTGGTGCCAACAGAATACTGAGTACGTCACTAGCTATAGCCCATCCTGCATGCAGCTAAGCTCGTCTCCGTCTATCGAAACAACTTGCTCATCTTTGGTGCAATCAAAAATCGATAGATATCCATCTCATGTTAACAACTCCAACTATATATACAAATTTACATGTATCTGTGGGAGCAGTTACATTGGAAGAACAGAAAGAAGAAGGGCATATCTACGATTTTCTGACCATGTATCAAAAAGCGTACGTCTAAAGAGTACAAATGCTTTAAACAGTGCCATTGCCAGGCTTCTTCTTGACACGGGTCATGAGGTGGACATCATAAAATCGTTCAATAGACAAAAGGGCTCAATTCTCCTCCTGAGGTCACCTCCATCAGGTGCTTGTAACCCGATTTGTGCGTTCAGTAGCTGCTGAGTTGTGTACAAGCTCGCTTCACAACCCCAAAGTTCTGGGTTCGAACCCTGGCAGTGAGGCGTGTGTGCGCTGCTGAAGAGTCCAAAACCAGGCTAATGAAACCGCTGGCTATCCAATACTCGAGCACTGGTTTTCCAATGGTTCTCTAGCCTATGTGAACTCATGATGAACTCCTATAAATAACCAATCAAATCCCTGAAAACCGACACTTAATAACTTTAATTCTTTCAAAATTTTACTCACATGTGGCAAAATATGATTATGTTTGTAAGCGGGTAAGTCGTAAGGGAGCCGAAATCAAGTAACTTTAAATTATTGCGGGCTATTTTACCAACGACCAAATGCCAACTGATTCTCACTTTCAGATCTCCTGTTGATTATCACACACCATTAAGCACAGGTGTATTTTCTATTTCGCCATGAAATCGAGCTTGGATTAGTGGAACAGTGATTTAAACAGAGGTTAGTTATTCGCCCCGCTGTGCTCCCCACCCCACCCCGCGCCCCCCACCATTCAACTGTAAGTATTCTATATTTGGTTTGTAGGGATTAGTTTTGTCTTTACGAGTTGATCACGGATTGATATCAGTTAGAGGACCATTGAAAACCAGCACTGGAGTACTGCCAGACAGCTGTTTCATCAGCCTAGTTTGGGAATCATCGGCAATTCGCACCCACTGGGTGCGTCCAGTCGAGAGTAGGGATAGATTTCCCACCGATGAAATTGTGTGTGGTCACTCTAAAAAAACATGAATTGGTAGAAGTTGGAATTCATGGACTGGCCATTGAAGTATCGGGCCCCAATGGCTAAATGGTCTACGAGCTCACTAGCCTTTTAACCAGAAGGTCTTCGGTTCGAACTCTGGCAGTAGGTGCGTACTGATGAAGAGTCCCAAACTAGGCTGACGAAACAGCTGTTCAGTACTCCGTGGTTCTAGGTGACTATTTTTGTAACTCACTAGTATCTATTCTGCTTAAAATATTCACTTTTTCAAGTTAATAAAGTGAATGTGTTTTATTTATTTACAATCCAGGGTTTTTGAAATAAAAACTTGTGGTAATCATGTGGGCATTCTAGGTGTACGTGAAATGTGTTCATAAATTAAATCATCACATGAATTTTGAGGAGAAAATAAACAAAAAATGTTTAAGTATTTTTCAGTGTGTGTGTGTGTCAATGTGTGTTTGTCAATTTTTTAGTTATCTAAACTAATAAATAATGATCAAGTTTAACCAAAAGAGATGAAGTCGCTTGAAGTTTATTTCTAGGAAGTCTTGACCAACAACCTTGTAACCTGAAGATCCTAGGTTCTCAATCCCTAGCAGTGGGGTGATGGATGTACACTGTTGCTGTTGAGTTTGAAACTAAAATGTAATGGGGTACAACAGGTCGGATGTGAGAACAGATACTTTCCAGCGATGACATTGGCTAGTGCCTCAGTCAATCGTGCTCTACATATTATGCGTGAATTACCTGATGTTGTGATTCATGGACTGGCGAGTGAGTAGTTGGGTCCCTGTGATTCATGTGCATATGAACTCACCTTGTAACCGGTGTAGGTCCTGGATTCGAATCGTGGGATGAGTGGGTGCGTACTGCTGAAGAATCTGAAACTAGGTTGACGAGACACCTATCCATTACTCCCTGCAGGTGTTTTCCAATGGTTCTCTTACCGATGCGATCCTATAACAAACCTAAAGTTGAAAAGAGTAAGATTTTGGAGTTCTTCATGAAAGATGATTATCACATTTTCAAGTGATTAAAGGAATTTAAAAGACTTAATACTAAACAAAGAAATATTCAAGTGTTGGTTTGTAGGGATTTGATTGGTTTCAGGATTTCATCATGAGCTGACATTAGTTAGAGAACCATTGGAAAACCTGGGAGTACTGGACAGCTGTTTCGTCCTAGTTTTGGACTCTTCAGCAGTACGCACCCACCGGGATTCGAACTCAGGACCTTCCGGTTACAAGGCGAGCTCGTATACCATTGAGCCACTGGGACCCGACCCAATGGTCCTTGAATTCTAACTTCTGACAATTCACGACATAGCGCGACCGCTAGCCAATGTCTTCGGCGAGTATTTGTCCTCACACCCGACCAGCTGCACCCTACTGGTCACGACTTCCCACTGGAAGCCAGGTAACTACCTACCTGAATGGGGCCAGTCGCCAGTGAGCATCTCATTGGTACCTGTCCATTACTCTCTGCAGGTGTTTTCCAATGGTTCTCTTACCGATGCGATTCTATAACAAACCTAAAGTCGAAAAGAGTAAGATTTTGGAGTTCTTCATGAAAGATGATTATCACATTTTCAAGTGATTACAGGAATTTAAAAGACTTATTACTAAACAAAGAAATATTCTTTCCGGTAACCTGCTCTCATTTATCATGTTCTACAGTTATGTCCATCCATATTAATGGTGAATGAATCAGTGTTATTAACAACATTAATGCTGCATGGAGGATTTCATCATGAGCTGACATCAGTTAGTAAAACCAGTGGAAAACATGGGAGTGCTGGACAGCTGATCGTCCTAGTTTGGGACTTTTCAACAGTACACATCCATCGGAGTTCGAACCCATGATCTGGTTACAAGGCAAGCTCGTATACCATTGAGCCACTGGGACCCGATCCAATGGTTCTTGAATTCTAATTTCTGCCAATCCATGATGTGGCGCGACCATTTCGCAATGTCTTCGTTATCTTCAACCTGCTCTACCCCTACTGGTCACGGCTATGTCATGAATTGGCAGAAGTTAGAATTCATGGGCCATTGATTTGGGTCCCAGTGGTTTAATGATCTACGAGCTAGGTGCTCGCCTTGTGACCAGAAAATCCTGGGTTCGAACTGCGGTGGATGCGTACTGATGAAGAGTCCCAAACTAGGACGATCAGCTGTCCAGCACTCCCATGTTTTTCACTGGTTTTCTAACTGATGTCAGCTCATGAATATAAATCCTCCATGCAATCAAACGAAAATTCCCCACAAAACCAATACTTAAACATTAATGTTGGTTAAATAACATCGAATCAATAATAATAATATCAATGGATCACAGTTCTATAGCATCAGCATAACACTACACACTGAATATCAAACAAATTAGGAGAAATAATAATACAGGGTTTATGAATCTGTAGGCTCAACAGAAGGTCAATTCAGTAATAGTGGTTAGACCTGTTTCTTCTGCACACAGAACACTGATTGTTTTAGGCAGCTATAACCTCTGCTGTTTGGAGTCTTCGGCACCTTGGATATGGTTTTGGAAATTTATTTGGTAGTCGATAGATGACGTTGGAGAAGGATTCTTTAATGCTAGTTAGCATTATGACCGGTCACTTTGGACCTTGGGGGTCTAATCTCGAGCTGTTGATGATGTGTTTTTTTTCATTACACCTTTATATAGCGCCACACCACACTGGTAAGTGTTGCCGGGAGAGCACAGAAGGTCAAGTTTCTAGAGTAACGGCCAATATACCTCGCTCCAGCACAAGCACACTTGAATTGGTAGACACACTTAGAAGAAGTGGTTAGTTGGTCTAAGTAATTAACCTTTTAACTGGGGAGTCACAACTGTTCGTGTAAAAATATATATGACTTGCAGCTTACTGGCATTAAAAGTTCTTTGAATTGATTTTCTTAACTTCTTAGTAATCATATTACTTCGTACGTCACCTTTGAATTGCAGTCGTATTTACAGAGAGAGAGAGAGAGAGAGAGAATAGTGATGTTCCACTTTCTTGGTCATGTGTTTCATGATCTCCTTTTCGGGATAGCTATTTTCAGTTGTGTCATATACAGTCGATCCTAAGTGTATATTCAATTACCTCTTCTGAGTATATTAGCTGGCACACTTACAGATGCTATCGAAACTGTAATCTATTCATATTATTGGTTGATTCAATGTTATTTAAACAACATTAATGTTTGATTGATTGGTTACAGGATTTTATCATGAGCTCTAACATCGGTTATGGAAACATTGGAAAACTAGCTGGGAGTACTGGACAGTCAGCTGTTTCATCAGGCTAGATTGGGACTTTTCAGCATTACGCATTCACCGCCACTGTCCGGAGCCAGGATCTTCTGGTTACAAGGTGAGCAGCTAGCTCGTAGATCATTAAGCCACTGGGACACAACCAACTGGCCCTATTTTCAGGCAGTTAACCTGAGATTCTTGTGTGAAGCCGTGACCAGTAGGGTACAGCAAGTTGAAGATGAGGCAGTAACTCTTTGCGAAATGGTCGCGCTATGTCGTGAATTGGGAGAAGTTTGAATTCAAGGACCATTGAATCGGGTCTCAGTGGCTCAATGGTCTACGAGCTTTCCTTGTAACCAGAAGACCCTGTGTTCGAACCCTGGAGTTTGCTGCGTACTGCTGAAGAACCCCAAACTAGAACGAAACAGCTGTCCAGTAGTCTAGTGCTGGTTTTCCAATGGTTCTCTAACTGATGTCAGCTCATGATGAGATCCTCCTCCCTACAAACCCAATGCTTCAAAAAATATAAATAACTGTCGAATTCAATTCAATAATTAATATATGACCCGTTGCACAAGAGGTGGCTCTCGTGGCCCAAGTGGTCTAGTGGATAACGCTTTGGCGTTTGAAACTATGGGCACTGGGCTCGAGCCTCGGTGGGAACATCATCACTCACTGAGAAATGCAGGTACATCCAGCTGACGAGTCCCAATTAGGACGAAATGCGCTTTATCCTGGATTCCACTGCTAGCCACCATCCACCAATTGTATACAAATCAAATCCCCAGACATCGTCGAAGCATCTGCACAAGAAGCCGACATATCAACCTGAGACCGAACACTTCGGTCCAATCAATCGACGGGAAAATCAAGAATTCAATTCAATAATAACTGTCGAAGTTGATGAAAAGCAGGTTGTCGAGAGGAATATTCACTGCTCAGTAGTAATCAATCTTTTGAAATCTTTTAATGCGCATTTTTGATCAGTTATAGGATTATTTTGAAATCTAATTTCCTTTGAGTAATATTTTCAACATATCTGTTTTCCTCAACTTCTTTTTTTAAATTTTCAAAATGTTTATTATTTTAGCCGAGTACTGTTACTCCTGCAGGTGGTGAAGACAAACAGATTGTTGAACAATCTTCAGCTGATCAATCTGTTACCACCGATGGTGGTGCATCAACGCCAATGCCTAATCCTAAACGTAAACGTCGTAATGCATCGCGTAAAACTCTCGCAAATCAAGAGTCAAACAGTCAAACTGTACCATCGATTGATTCATTCGCACCATTGATTTCATCTTCTACTGTTCCAACAAAATCCAGTCAAGTTAAACCAATCGATGATGAAGAAAATGGATTTGAATTAATTGAAATTCCTAGTGCATCATCTCAACCGTCATCATCATCATGTGCCTCGTCAACTGTTGACTCGGAATTAGAAATAAATCCATACAGTGAAGAGGTGTTATTATCATCGCCTATTGATCAGTCACAATTCCCACCATTAATTAAGACAGATAATGGTGATCCAATCTCTGTGACAATGGAACCAGAACTTCTAGAGGGTGGAAGACATCCACAAGCTAGTAAACTGTTGAAATTAGCTCTGGGCAGTAATAATAATAATAATAATAGTAGTAGCAGTAATAATGATGGCGAGCAACAGGATAATACTCAAAAACAAAGTCAGGCAAGACATTCGCCATCACCACAACGGCTGTATCTTCCTGAAACCACCTCTGCCACCAGTATGGTCGCCAGCAGTGGTAACAACAAGACTGGTGTAGCAAAACGTACCAAAGTAAGAAAGGCTGATTAGTTGATCACATCTTCTTCACCTCTGATCGTAGATTCACCTCTCTGTCTGTCTGTCTGTCTGTCTCTGTATGTGTGTGGGTTTCTATCTCCCTTCGCCCAAAATGTATGTATGCATGTTTGTATAAATCGATTGATTGTTTACTCCAGATTATTTATTTATCGCTTATTTCGCATATCTATTGTATTTCTCTCGATCGTTCCGTTTCTCTGTTCTTTTTTATTTTGTTTTGTTACGTTTTGTGTATTGTATTGCATTGCATTGTCAGTGGTCTTTCTTGTTTCTCCTGAGCATTTGAGTTCACCCTCATTATTGATTGGTCATTATTGTTATTATTATTAAAAGCGCTCCAGTAGTAGTACTAGTGTTGTTAAGTACTCCTGTTTATAATTCCCCCCTCCTCCGTAGTGTTTCTGTTCTACTTACCCTAGGACAGTGTGTGTGTGTGCGTGAATTTACTCAATTTTATTTATTTATTTATTTATTTATTTATTTATTTATTCTGTTCTGTTCTATTGTATTCCTCAAATCAATTTCTATGCATTTGTGTTGTATGCATAGAATACTGCACAGTGTTTTCTGTTTTCTCCTGCCTATGGTTGGTTTTTTGTGCTCTTGCTTTTCTTTTTATAGTAACAGTGATGATTGTGAAAATGTTTGTATTGGTGGTGGTGGTGGTGGTCGTCATCATCATCTCCTCATGATGGTAGTCTCTTCTTATACACACATACATACAATACGTGTGTTTATTGACTGTTTATCTGTACACAATATCGGCTACCCAGACAATTCACATGTGGTGTGGATTGTATCGCCTACCGTACGTGTGTATAGATACCTTTTGCTTATTTTTTATCAATATGAGTGTTGGTGCCTGCCTGCCTACCTACCTATGTGATAATTATTAATGATGAAATCACAAGTGTATGTGAGTAGTTTCTTCGCCGTTCTGTATGTGTGCTGTTATGAACTTTCTTTTTCTGTGATATATATGTAGTTTTGTTGTTGTTCTTTTTGCCGTCTGTTGTGCATTGAATTCATTTATGCAGCTGCTTCGTCTATCTCAAGGACGCCTTATTTCTATTTTTTGAGCATTAATCTAGTTGTGTAGGTGGTGTCTATCAGTCACTCTGTCTGTCTGTCTGTGTACCTGCCTACTTAACCTGTTGATTGAATGTTGTTGTTGATGCAATCCTTTCACCACTTAATTCCATCCATCCACCCCACACACGCACTTCACTAGATGATAACCTTTACCTCATCTAGTTGTAGTCGTTTCACTATCACTCCTATACACCATAGTACGACTGGCAGTGTGTGTGTGTGCAAGTGTTTGTGTTCAGCGCCAATAAAACTTTTCATATTTTCCTCTGTCAGACAGTCACTTAGTCAATCCAATACACAATAGATAAAAACAAATAGAGTGAGGGAGGGGAAAGAGTTATATTATTATTGATTTTTTGCCTATTAATACTATGATCATAATCATTACTATTGGTATTATATTTATTGTAATAATACAGAGAAGTTGAACTATTATTATTATTATTGGTAATATTGTGATGCGACTAGTACCTTCTTATTTTTCTGTTGCGCTTTAGTCTATTGATTTCTTATTGCTCCTCTCTCTCTCTCTCTACACACACACACACACATTTATTTATTTATTGTTATTATTTGTCGATAATCAATTGTTGTAATTGTTTGATGTATGTTTGTTTAAATGAGTTTATTTTGTTTTGTTTTATTTTTGTTTGGTGGTGCGATGTGGTGTAGTGTGGTTGGTTCATTAATTGATTGATTGTGCATGTCTGGATTATGTTGGTTTGTGCATTTCAAACGTGGTTAAATCACACAAAAAAAAGAAGAGATACATTAAATATTAATTAATAATAACATTAATTATTTAGATATCCCTCAGTCATTGTTTTTCTTCATCAAATGATTTGGGAAATAGATATGATGGAGAAGATTTGTAGCTCAGGTGGATGATTTTGACGTTGTAGTTCAGCGCATACTTCAAGTGAATAAAAGAAATAATAATAATGATTTACTTTATTTCAAAAACAGTACTTGTGATACAGAATGGAAAATTTCAGCATTAATCACACAATATTGCATCTAATTTCTTCAAATTATAAATAAAAATTAATCACACAGAAAATTTTCCACATTTACAATAGAGGTAGTGTCAAAAACATGCAGCATATAAAATGGAAATAGCAATAATAATGATAACAGCTAGGGTAATGATAATAATAAGAATACAAGTGAAAATTGCCGTGGGCTTGTTACACACAGTATTGGCAATGTGGTATAGAAATCCTAACATGTTTAAAAATATTGAATATAGTGTTCTCTTTACATGATATGGTGAGGGGAAAAACAAAGATCACAGCAGTCACTGAGATAAGTTGGTGTTTGCAATTATGAGAGTAAAACAAACAAAGAAGTAACAGGACCATAAATATAATAGAAATAATAAAAGTAAAACTTGAAGGTATACAATGATGGATTGAGGAAATTGTTTATTTACTAGATGAAAAAAAGGTTAGTTAATTCTTGCCTGATACTATTTTCAAGTATGGTATCATAGAATTCTTATACTTAGACGTGCGAGCATACAGTTTTCTAAAGTTACTTCTTGTTCTACCTGAGGAGATGCAAGGCGAAAGCTGAGGGTAAAGCGAATGCTCTTCTTCTGTGAGCTGCATTGGCCTTGTCTGTACATTGTGAAACCATTTAAGGAGACTAAATTAACATCATATGAGTCGCGGAGCCAAGTTTCTTGAAGAGTTATTACACCAGTATTACAATATACATTTGAGTATAATAGAGAATGCAAGTAGTTAATCTTGTTCGATAATGACCTTCAATTTGTGCTCATAATCACAGGAACAGTCATCTAATGCATTGGAGTGAACTTTAACGATATTTGCCACCCACCATGATACTTTTTCTTAAGATTATATATACTCGTACATCATCAGGTTGAAAACATTTTAGATGATCGCGAGAGTAAGTAATGCGAATTGGACACATAACTGAATGATTAAAACAAAATAAATCCGAGGAAATTGATGCAATATATAGGATTGAAATTTTAGTAGCCCAAGATTTAAGCATGTCGCAAGTCAATTTGAATTGAAGTGAGCTTTCTAGATTTCTCCACGAGTTTATTAGTCATCTCTCCTGATGATGGTGACCTTCAACGTGACTCTTAATTAATAATAGCAGATGTTTCGTCGCTACCAGTGAAAATAAAGTGTGTCGGTGGCACATCGGTAGAATACTCGCCAACAACGTGGTTCGGGTTTCGATCCTCGGCCACTGGATGCACTTCCAAACCTCGCCAGGCCGATAGTAAGACTGGTGAAGAGGGAAGGTTGAGCATGAGGGGGCTAGCGACCCCATCCCGTAAAAATGGTCACCACTACTACAGAAACTTCAAGCATCTAGCTTGTAGCCGCCCTGTGTTCCACCACTGAAAACGTAGAGCAACAAAGAAATTGAAAAAAATGAAAATAAAGTCGAAAATGTACAGAAAGTGTAAAGTAATGATGATGATGATGATAATAATAGTAATATCTAAAATTAGAACTTAATTGAAACAGTGTCGCCATAGATTACAAATAGGAGGCGATAAAAGAGCCAATTATTTTGTTAATAGAATAGTAAGTTGTATGTTTCTCGCTTAACATTATCACAAAGGTCACGGACGGAGCAAATATGGTATCATTGAGTTTTTGTATACTTGATTGCACGAGCATATAATCCTTAATAATGATTTCTAGTCTTACCTGATGAGATGGTAGAAGGGAGAGAGTTGTGAATAGAGCGTGTGTTGAGAATCACATAATATTGTAACAACAAAAAGCAAGGACCAGACAACAGATCGTTTATTGAGAAAATCAATAGATATTTATAGATTTTTCTGTATATTATTGTTAGCGGAGAAGCAGCTTCTTCTGATTGGTTGTTTTCTGGCTGAAGGTTATTCTGTTCTGCTTGTGACCGTTTCTTAGAAAGTTAAGCCATATATCTGCGAACCGAATTTGTACACTTTAAGTCTTCTGTGATTGGTTGTTGAGTTCCTCAAGGTTGTTAAGCTTTGTTATTGTTTTTTTTCCCATAACCCTGACTCAGGACGTGAACACTGACTTGAATTGTTGTCTACAATTTTTGCTTACAGCCAGCTGTCATCCCAATGGCACAATTTATATGCACAATTTTATCATCGTATTTACAAATCACCGCTTGATTGGTTTAAATTTTAATATTTATTTGTAAAGTTATGTAGGTATATTAGAGTTAAACATGATTAGGTCTAATTGAAAATACAATATTGTCTGCTTAAATGTTCTTTTCTAAATGAAGCAAAAGCTGTTCATATAGGTAGGCTACTAATTATCAATAAAGACTGTTATAAACCTTCATTTCTTCTAATGTTCGCCTTCTTCACTATCTGATCCATCTATAAACTACCATCGTTATTAGTGGTTTGAGAAATAAGAGACTATAGACCACTCTTGATTTGACCAGTATGGTGTGAATCAAATGGCCTAAAGAGAAGTGCTATATGCATTTCAACCAAGATGTGGGCTTTATGTCTCAAGGGGACAAGGGTTTATAATACTGACATTACCAGATATCTCCTGGATACGGGTCATGAGGTGGATATTTGAAAATCCTTCAAAATTGTCAGTAGACTAAATAACCGAATTCTACTTAAGTTTGCCGACGCCATTTTGAATCAAACGCCTAAAGCGTTATTTGACGTTTTATATATATATATATATGTCGATATTGCCATGGAACGCCTAGAAGACGGCAGTCTTTAAAAGTCAATTTATCGGGAGTGGTTTACGATCATGGATACGAAGATGAAGGGGACGTCCGTTTTGGCCAATGTAGTGTTTTTCGAAGTTGTTACAATTTGTTTTGTAGATAATGTTGTTTTTATCTACTTTCGTTGTTGAGTCTGTCTTTTGGTTGACATAGAGCCGGTTGAGTGAAGTAATTTAGTTGGTTTGTGTGAGACGTCAGTTCCTAAAGGTTTGAAGAGTGTTGTGGTGATTTCTGAGATGTCCTTTATATGTGTTAGGGCGATTTTCTTTGTGTTTTTTCTCTATGAGCCTTTGATTTGGTGGGTTGACGGCTTGGGGGTATATGTCTTTTGATGAGGTTCTGTAGATGTCCATTCTTTTGGAAGATGTCCATGTCTTTTTCAGGGTAACAACTTTTGCGAACCGATGTAACCATGGCTTTCCTTGTGTATTGATTATTTTCAAAGCTTGACTAATTTCCAAGGTATGTCCCGTGTCAATTACGTGTGTCCGAACGCTTTACTGCCTTTACAATGGAGACTTCTGAGGATGTATGTTCGGAAAATCTAGTAGACGCTCTACTCCTCTCAGTCCTTCCTATGTACTTGTTGCCTCAAGTGCAGGTGAATTGGTAAATACAGTTGGAGTTGTCATGGAGAGCAGGATACTTATCTATTTTTGGACTTAACTGACTGACTAGTTTCAACACATATCTTTACACCGATCTGCAGCAGTTCGAGTTGCCACACTCCATGTAGCACACAGAACAAGAGAAGAAGGTAGAAGAAATGGATAGTGGAGACAGTTGACCGCCACTAGCTCTATTCCAACCTGAACCTATGTCAGCTAACACTGCACGTTGTCGAGGAAGGCGATACCTGGGCTAGGCATGCGTAACACATGCCCTAAACATTCCAATCGATTCAACTTCACGGCCTCGTCTTTGGATGTCCCCTTCTTACCTTGCTGGTACTCGACCGATGCCCAACCTCAATAGTGTTCACTCTATTATACCACTTAACACGGGAGATAGAACTCAGACACCTATGAACAAAGACAAACAGCTAGCCAGGCTTTTCATGTCTTCCACTCTCAATGGCCATGTATCACTCACAGGCATATAGGAGGACAGAGTGGACTGCTGAGCAGTACACACTTCCTCTGGTTGACAGTCAGCCAGCCGGATAACACGTCTACGCCAGAGATGGCATGAGTTGGCGGATGCTACACGAGGCTTCTGTATTGGTGCTGAGATTACGTCGGCAATCAGCCCGTTAGCGTTGGCTGATATAACTTCCAAATAAGTGGTGGTCAACACGTTCTACCATTTCACCCCCTATTTCTAAGCTAGGAGTCAATGTAGTTCACTCCTGTAGCATCATCTTACATTTGACAGGAGCGAATCGCATGCCAAACATTCGCAGATTGCAGCTGAAGGTGTTCAGAAGACTCTACTCTATTTTGTCAGCGTATTCCCCTAGTAAGGACGACTATATCATCTGCATATTCTGAGTCAACGAGGTAACAGGTCAATCCCTGAGTCGCTGAAGTCAGTTAGGGTTAAGTCCATTAGTGCATCTATGATGAAGTTGAATAGAAATGGGGACAGTGGGTATCCGTGACGGACACCACTATTCGTCACCACTTCATATGACAGCTCGCCGTAAGCTCTTATCCGGCTGACTGCACCAGATCCAGTAAAGTGCGTTGATCAGTGGTTGATGTATTTCCTCGGCATTGCCTTCACAGCCAAACATCACCAGAGTACTTCTTGGTCGACAGAATCGAATGCCAACTTTGGGTCAAGAAATATAATGATTGTTGGACACCGACGGTAAGTATACCTATGTTCCAGAATCTATCGAAGGTTGAAGATATGATCAATACACCCTCTTCCTGGTCTAAAGCCTGCGTGGTTCTTTCGTGTTTGTCCCTCCCGAGCACCACTTAGTCTACGCATGATTATTGAGCCTAGGACTTAAGATACTATATTAGTCAAGCTAATCCCTCTGTGATTATCACAGGAAGACTTGTCTCCCTTTTTGTATATGGGGATAATCTGTGACTTACACTAACTCGATGGGACTTCCTCTGATT